TTACATAGACATCACCATCAGGAAACCTGCCTTGAGAAATGCCATGCAGCCATTGCTGGAGTGCATGTGGACAGGAAGTGGCTGCAAAGAGGCTGCCAGAGATCAGCAGCTCTGAGGTGGAACAAGGGTTCAAAAGAGATATAAAAGCAATAAAATTGGTTGTAAATGTTTGTGATACATAGCGCACAGTGCAAACACAATGTCCGTCTCGCTCATCTCAGCGTTTGTTCAGTTTTGGCGCTGACTGTGCTGTATTACATATAGAGTAGTCGGCATCTAATTATGTATTCATAACAACGCTGAACGTCTGACGCTTCCTCAATGCCTGTGACTCCTCCCTGGTCAGCTCCACCCATTTGTTTGCAGAAGTAAAAGTGGAACTAAACCCAACAATTGAACTTTTTCTCAGAACAGTTGGGCCTCATTCACACGGCCATAAAAACACACGGCCAGCCATTGTTAATGGCTCTGAACGCAGCTGCATTGTTTTCAATGGAGATATTCACACCGGTGTGTAAACACGCACTGCGCTCAGATCCGTACAACAAAATCCCAAATTCTGCATGTGAGAACGTGTGTGTGTGTGTGTGTGTGTGTGTGTGTGTGTGTGTGTGTACATGAATGCTGCTGAAAAAAGTACAGAGCCATTTGTAGGCATTAATGAACGCAACTATTTACTGAACGTTTGTCCCTTGCCTAATGATCAGTAAGCGTGTTACGGCAGTGCTACGTCTGTGTTACGTCTGTGTTACGTCTGTGTTACGTCTGTGTTACGGCAGTGTTACGTCTGTGTTACAGTGCTACGTCTGTGTTACGTCTGTGTTAGTCTGTGTTACGGCAGTGTCTGTGTCTGTGTTGTGTTTACGTCTGTGTTACGGCAGTGCTCTTACGTACGTCTGTGTTACGGCAGTGTTACGTCTGTGTTACGGCAGTGTTACGTCTGTGTTACGTCTGTGTTACGGCAGTGCTAAGTACGTCTGTGTTACGGCAGTGTTACGTCTGTGCTATGGCAGTGTCTGTTACGTCTGTGTTACGTATGGCAGTGTTACGTCTGTGTCACATCTGTGCTATGGCAGTGCTTCTTACGTCTGTGTTATGTCAGTGTTACATCTGTGCTATGGCAGTGCTTCTTACGTCTGTGTTATGTCAGTGTTACATCTGTGCTATGGCAGTGCTACGTACGTCTGTCTTACGTCTGTGTACGGCAGTGCTACGTACGTCTGTGTTACGGCTGTGTTACTGTGGCAGTGCTACGTACGTCTGTGGTTATCTGTGCTATGGCAGTGCGTAGTGTCTTACGTCTGTGTTACGGCAGTGCTACGTACGTCTGTGTTACGGCAGTGCTACGTACGTCTGTGTTACGGCAGTGTTACGTCTGTGTCACATCTGTGCTATGGCAGTGCTACGTACGTCTGTGTTATGTCAGTGTTACGCCTGTGTTACGGCAGTGCTACGTATGTATGTGTTACATCTGTGCTGTGGCAGTGCTACGTACCTCTGTTACGGCAGTGTTATGTCAGTGTTACGCCTCTGTTACGGCAGTGCTACGTACGTATGTGTTACGTCAGTGTTACATCTGTGCTATGGCAGTGCTACTTACCTCTGTGTTACATCCGTGTTGCGGCAGTGCTACGTACGTCTGTGCTACATCAGTGTTACGTCAGTGTTACGCCTGTGTTACATCTGTGCTATGGCAGTGCTACTTACATCTGTGTTACGTCAGTGTTACATCTGTGTTACTGCAATGCTACGAACGTCTGTGTTACGTCTGTGCTATGTACGTCTGTGCTACGTCTGTGTTACGGCAGTGCTACGTACGTCTGTGTTACGGCAGTGCTACATACGTCTGTGTTATGTCTGTGTTACGGCAGTGCTACATACGTCTGTGTTATGTCTGTGTTACGGCAGTGCTACATACGTCTGTGTTACGGCAGTGCTACATACATCTGTGTTATGTCTGTGTTACGGCAGTGCTACATACGTCTGTGTTAGTGCTCTGTGTTACGGCAGTGGCGTATGTATGTGCTACTACGTACGTCTGTGTTATGTCTGTTACGCAGTGTTACATACGTCTGTGTTACGTCAGTGTTACATCTGTGCTATGGCAGTGCTACTTACGTATGGCAGTGCTACTTATGTCTGTGTTACATCCGTGTTACGGCAGTGTTACACGTCTGTGCTACGTCAGTGTTACGCCTGTGTTACGTCTGTGTTACGGCAGTGTTACGCCTGTGTTACGGCAGTGCTACGTCGTCTGTGTTACAGCAGTGTCTGTGTTACGGCAGTGCTATGTACGTCTGTGTTACGTCTGTGTTATGGCAGTGCTACTTACATCTGTGTTACATGTGTTACGTACGTCTGTGCTACGTCTGTGTTACGGCAGTGCTACGTACGTCTGTGTTACGGCAGTGTTACGTCTGTGTTACATGCGTGTGTTACGGCAGTGCTACATACGTCTGTGTTATGTCTGTGTTACGGCAGTGCTACATACGTCTGTGTTATGTCTGTGTTACAGCAGTGCTACGTACGTCTGTGCATCCGTGTTACGGCAGTGCTACATACGTCTGTGTTACGTCTGTGTTACAGCAGTGCTACGTACGTCTGTGTTTACTTCGTGTTACGGCAGTGCTACATACGTCTGTGTTACGGCAGTGCTACGTACGTCTGTGTTACGGCAGTGCTACGTACGTCTGTGTTACGGCAGTGCTACGTACGTCTGTGTTACGGCAGTGCTACGTACGTCTGTGTTACGGCAGTGCTACGTACGTCTGTGTTACGGCAGTGCTACGTACGTCTGTGTTACGGCAGTGCTACGTACGTCTGTGTTACGGCAGTGCTACGTACGTCTGTGTTACGGCAGTGCTACGTACGTCTGTGTTGTCTGTGTTACGTCTGTGTTACGGCAGTGCTACGTACGTCTGTGTTACGTCTTTGTTACGGCAATGCTACTTATGTCTGTGCTACGGCAGTGCTACTTACGTCTGTGTTACATCCGTGTTACAGCAGTGTTACGTACGTCTGTGCTACGTCTGTGTTACGGCAATGCTACGTACGTCTGTGTTACGGCAGTGCTACGTATCTGTGTTACGTCTGTGTTACGTCTGTGTTACGGTAGTGCTACGTACGTCTGTGTTTACGTCTGTGTTACGTCTGTGTTACGTCTGTGTTACGGCAGTGCTACGTACGTCTGTGTACGTCTTTGTTACGGCAATGCTACTTATGTCTGTGCTACGGCAGTGCTACTTACGTCTGTGTTACATCCGTGTTACAGCAGTGTTACGTACGTCTGTGCTACGTCTGTGTTACGGCAATGTACGTACGTCTGTGTTACAGCAGTGTTGTTCACGGCTGTGCTATGGCAGTCTACTTACGTCTGTGTTACGGTTATGTCAGTGCTACGTATGTCTGTGTATGTCTGTGTTACGGCAGTGTGTTACATCCGTGTTACGGCAGTGCTACGTACTTCAGTGTTATGTCTGTGTTACATCCGTGTTACGGCAGTGCTACATACATCTGTGTTACGGCAGTGCTACGTATGTCTGTGTTACGGCAGTGCTACGTATGTCTGTGTTACGGCAGTGCTACGTATGTCTGTGTTACGGCAGTGCTACGTATGTCTGTGTGTTACGTCTGTGCTATGGCAGTGCTACGTACGTCTGTGTTACATCTATGTTACGGCAGTGCTACGTACTTCAGTGCTACATCTGTGTTACGGCAGTGCTACGTATGTCTGTGTTACGGCAGTGCTACGTATCTGTGTTACGGCAGTGCTACGTATGTCTGTGTTATGGCAGTGCTACGTATGTCTGTGTTATGGCAGTGCTACGTATGTCTGTGTTACGGCAGTGCTACGTATGTCTGTGTTACGGCAGTGCTACGTATGTCTGTGTTACGGCAGTGCTACGTACGTCTGGGTTACGGCAGTGTTACATCCGTGTTACGGCAGTGCTGCGTACGTCTGGGTTACGGCAGTGCTACTTATGTCTGTGTTACATCCGTGTTACGGCAGTGTGTTACGTCTGGGTTACGGCAGTGTTACAATCGTGTTACGGCAGTGCTACGTACGTCTGGGTTACGGCAGTGTTACATCCGTGTTACAAGCAGGTGAATGAGGCCTTACGGTTGGGCCTCATATGATGACAGTACGGCTACATTCACCCCGCTGATTATTGCTGGTGCCAATAGTAATGTCAGCGATCGGAGCTTCCTGCTACTGCTCTTGGCGGCTCGGTGTCACCTCCAGCCCTGCTCACTGTACTGACAGGTCACCAGCGGCTGCAGCTATTCGTGGCTCCCTGCACGGCCAGCAGTGATCTCTGCTGGACTAAGTTGGCAGTGGCTCTGATCACTGGTGTGAATGTAGCCGTGCAGTTACATGTTAGCTCTGGACAGAACTGTCACGCCATGAATTGGATGGTGTCATATGTGATCACATGTAGCACCATGACCACTGCAGATCACACAGAGGCTACCAGGGCAGCTTCCATGGCTACAAAGGATCGGTGGGTTTAGTTCCACTTTAAGCTTTACAAATGTTTTATATTTATGAATAAATGCCAGCAGTATGAATACTGGAATTAGGCCGGTGTCAGCCACAGCAGGGCTCAGACTAGGGGAAGGATAAGCAGCATGAGGAGCCAATCAGTTGTGCTAACAAGGAATATGCTGTGTAGTGGAGAGAGATAATCTCATCACTCTGCTGCTGCTCCTTTCACTGTCTAACTACAGGCTGGGGGAGGTGCAAGACCTATAAGTGCTTCTGAACTACAGCAGGGACACATCAGATCCTCTGCCCTGCCAGACAGGACTTTGCTGTGTGGCAGAGCTGCATAATTCCCAGAACTGGATGGTCAGAAATACAGATTCCTGGAGACAGTGCTTTGTATATGTTTGTGGATTGTAGACTACAGAGAGCCCTCGGCTGGTTCAGATGCTTAGTACATATGAGCTGCACTTGTGTCCTGTTGGAGGAAAGTGCTTTCTATGTATTCTGTGTTGTCATGGTGTCCGCTCTCACATATGATTTCCTCCTAGGTGCTGGAAGGATCGAGTTGTGTGCCAGTCTGTTAGAAGGAGGAATTACTCCAACCACCGGTGAGAATGTGCGCAATGTATGTCCTAATCAGATGGATGCCGGTGTCCCGCCTGTGCGGACCGAGTACAGGCGCCCATTCTTTGCACCATTCCAATTATCTCCTGGAATAACGGGGTCACACGCCTCTCTCCCCCTCTCTCTCCCCCCCTCTCTCTCTCTCCCCCCTCTCTCTCTCCCCCTCTCTCTCTCCCCTCTCCCCCCTCTCTCTCTCCCCCCTCTCTCCCCTCTCCCCCCTCTGCAGATGTAAGAATACTGTGGACCAGAGTCCTTGTAGTCGGGATTTGGAGGTTCTTCCCACCCAAAACTCTTTGAACCTCAGAAATGCTGGGTCCCTAATAGTCATGCACTGTTTTGTGTATATAAGGGTCCCTAATATGGATCTATCAGTCCTCTCTCTAGCTAGACTCCCCCAGAACACCTCACCCCACATAGGTGAGAACCCCTGAGTTCAATGTCTCAAAAAACTGTCCCCCTCAAAGGGACCACAACTGAAATATTGGGGAAATGTAGCTGCCATCCAGGACCATTCCAGTGTCCTATACAAGCCTTCTAATACAAAGCACTCAGTATTCCTGTATATAAAGCCGCCTTTGTGTTTCCAGGTCTCTTACAGATAGTGAAGCAGTATGTGCAGATTCCGGTATTTGTGATGATTCGGCCGCGGGGAGGAGATTTCCTTTACTCAGACCGCGAGGTGGAGGTGATGAAAGCTGACATCCGGCTCGCCAAGATCCATGGGGCGGACGGACTTGTGTTCGGAGCCCTGACAGAGGACGGCAGAATTGATACAGAACTGTGCATGGATTTACTTGGTAAGGAATATATAAGAATTCTGTCCTCTAATATCATGAGCATTGGGCTTGGTTTATAGCTGTAGATGGTCTTCTGCAAGTAAAGGACGAGACACAAAGCAAACCTGTGCAAAGGCCCTCGGGCCGAATCCGGCCCCCCAAACCATTTCATGTGGCCCTCGCACCCAGGGTTATATTTCAGCTGGAATGTGGTGGGACTTCATTTCACCACCTCTGGCTCTCACCCTCCACGCCCCGCTCTCCATTGTCGCTGGTAAACATGGAAGCTGTAACGGAATGCCTGTCGCCCCAATAGGGTGACTCCACCAGAGAACTGCTTCCTCGCCAGCGGGACACAGAACCAAGGTATTCCAGCCAGGCATTGCACCCAACACTAGGCAAGACTAGCTTAGATGCCAAACTGGAACTCTATTGAACAGAAATACAGTTTTTATACACTCCAGAACGAGGGGCAGTCCCCACAATACAACAAATATTACACATTGAGATAAACATCCCACACTGATTGGATAATGAGGTGAAGCTGACATCAGTCTAACCCTATCATGTAGGCACCTCCAGAAGGACTTGTCAACAGACAAACAATAGGTGACTCCATAAACAATGGGAATGCACACACAAAGGGAGAAAGTATACACATACAGTTGCAGGAAAAAGTATGTGAACCCCTTGGGATTCCGTGGAGTTTTGCATGAATTGGGCATAAAATGTGCTCTGAACGTCATCTAAGTCACAACAATAGAAGAACACAGTCTGCTGAACATAATACTACACAAACATTAGATGTTGCCATGGTTTAACAGATTAGAGCCAGAGTCATCATTAACCAAATTAACATGGTTTTTGTAACAGATTAGAGCCAGAGTCATCAGCATGAGCTTGTTTTGAGCTGATTACAGGTGAAACTCGAAAAATGAGAATATGGTGTAAACGTTCATTTATTTCAGTGCAGCAACTTAAAAGGTGACACTAATATATGAGACTCATTCCATGCAAAGCAAGATAGTTCCAGCCATGATTTGTCATCATTGTGAGGATTATGGCTTACAGCTCATGAAAACCCCAAATCCACAATCTCAGAAAATGAGAATATTGTGAAAAGGTGGAATAATCTCGGCTCAAAGTGTCCCACTCTAATCAGCTCATTCAGCCATAACACCTGCAAAGGGTTCCTGAGCCTTTAAATGGTCTCTCAGTCTGGTTCAGTAGGAATCCCAATCATGGGAAAGACTGCTGACCTGACACCATCATTGACACCCTTTGAGCCGAGATTATTCCACCTTTTCACAATATTCTCATTTTCTGAGATTGTGGATTTTGGGGTTTTCATGAGCTGTAAGCCATAATCATCACAATGATGACAAATCACGGCTTGAACTATCTTGCTTTGCATGGAATGAGTCTCATATATTAGTTTCACCTTCTAAGTTGCTGCACTGAAATAATTCAGAGTCAGTGTTATGGGGAGACATGAACTTGAATCCGAAGTAAACTACTCCAAAGGTCCCCCCCAGCCACCCACCAAAGAATAGAGCCCCTTCAGGTGCCAGAGCCATGGTCCGTAGGCAAGAGGCTAGCCTGCAGTCCCCTCCAAAAGCTCCTGTCCCTGTTGGGTCTGTCACAGAAGCCTTTTGTGTTCACATGGACAGCTTTCCTGTTGGCGGCTCTCACAGATCCTTGCCTGCCCTGTCCTGCACTCACAGCAGGGACGAGGGAGATGTAGGTGCAGGGTGGGAAGGGGCATCATGTGGTAAGCTGCACTGTGATCCCTGTCTGTGCCTGGGTGCACAGATGCTGACCAGAGAGAACGGCAGAGCCACTTTGCACGCCTGGGAGGTTCTAGAGCCAGGACGGAAAGGTGAGATTCTTTTGGGGGATGAAGGGGTGCAACGAACTAGAAACTCAGAGAGAGAGAGCACACAAGCAGATCACACGAAACCCGACGTGCGAGCGTTTATTGGGGAGTCTTGGGGTACAGACAGTAGAAATACTAGTCCACAGAACAACACAAGACACAGCAATGGAGAACGATTCTCAGGGTGATAATATGGGGCAGCAGAGGGCAGGTAGTCCACAGGCAGAGCAGGAGGGCACAGCCGAGTGGTAGATCCTCAGCACACAGAGCAAAGGGTTCCAGGCAGCAGGGCTGAGTCCAGCGCACAGTACAAGTCCACCTCAGGGCAGAGATCTGGGAAGCAGAAGGTTCAATCCAGCACACAGGGCAAAGGGTTTTTCTGGTGGGAGATGTGTGGAATGGGGAGAGTGATGCAGAGGTCAGAGCCGAGGAGGGGTACAAGTGAGATGTGGACAGCCTGTGAAAGAGAGCTGCACCCTGCGTTCTGTATGTAGCGCACTCCTCAAGCCTGCACTCTGTACATAGCACACCCCTGAACTCTGCACTCTGTATATAGCACACCCCTGAACTCTGCACTCTGTACATAGCACACCCCTGAACTCTGCACTCTGTACATAGCACACCCCTGAACTCTGCACTCTGTATACTGCACACCCCTGAACTCTGCACTCTGTACATAGCACACCCCTGAACTCTGCACTCTGTACATAGCACACCCCTGAACTCTGCACTCTGTACATAGCACACCCCTGAACTCTGCACTCTGTATACTGCTCACCCTGAACTCTGCACTCTGTATACTGCACACCCCTGAACTCTGCACTCTGTACATAGCACACCCCTGAACTCTGCACTCTGTATACTGCACACCCCTGAACTCTGCACTCTGTACATAGCTACCCCTGAACTCTGCACTCTGTATACTGCTCACCCTGAACTCTGCACTCTGTATACTGCACACCCCTGAACTCTGCACTCTGTATGCAGCACACTCCTGAACTCTGTATACTGCACACCCCTGAACTCTGCACTCTGTATGCAGCACACTCCTGAACTCTGCACTCTGTATGCAGCACACTCCTGAACTCTGTATACTGCACACCCCTGAACTCTGCACTGTGTATACTGCACACTCCTGAACTCTGCACTCTGTATACTGCACACTCCTGAACTCTGCACTCTGTATACTGCACACCCCTGAACTCTGCACTCTGTATACTGCACACCCCTGAACTCTGCACTCTGTACATAGCACACCCCTGAACTCTGCACTCTGTACATAGCACACCCCTGAACTCTGCACTCTGTACATAGCACACCCCTGAACTCTGCACTCTGTACATAGCACACCCCTGAACTCTGCACTCTGTACATAGCACACCCCTGAACTCTGCACTCTGTACATAGCACACCCCTGAACTCTGCACTCTGTACATAGCACACCCCTGAACTCTGCACTCTGTATACTGCACACCCCTGAACTCTGCACTGTGTATACTGCACACCATGTACTCTGCACTGTGTATACTGCACACCCCTGAACTCTGCACTCTGTACATAGCACACCCCTGAACTCTGCACTCTGTATACTGCACACCCCTGAACTCTGCACTGTGTATACTGCACACCATGTACTCTGCACTGTGTATACTGCACACCCCTGAACTCTGCACTCTGTACATAGCACACCCCTGAACTCTGCACTCTGTATACTGCACACCCCTGAACTCTGCACTCTGTATACTGCTCACCCTGAACTCTGCACTGTGTATACTGCACACCATGTACTCTGCACTGTGTATACTGCACACCCCTGAACTCTGCACTCTGTACATAGCACACCCCTGAACTCTGCACTCTGTACATAGCTACCCCTGAACTCTGCACTCTGTATACTGCACACCCCTGAACTCTGCACTGTGTATACTGCACACCCCTGAACTCTGCACTCTGTACATAGCACACCCCTGAACTCTGCACTCTGTACATAGCACACCCCTGAACTCTGCACTCTGTACATAGCACACCCCTGAACTCTGCACTCTGTACATAGCACACCCCTGAACTCTGCACTCTGTACATAGCACACCCCTGAACTCTGCACTCTGTACATAGCACACCCCTGAACTCTGCACTGTGTATACTGCACACCCTGAACTCTGCACTCTGTATACTGCACACCATGTACTCTGCACTGTGTATACTGCACATCCCTGAACTATGCACGCTGTATACTGCACACCCCTGAACTCTGCACCGTGTATACTGCACACCCTGAACTCTGCACTCTGTATACTGCTCACCCCTGAACTCTGCACTCTGTATACTGCTCACCCCTGAACTCTGCACTGTGTATACTGCACACCCCTGAACTCTGCACTGTGTATACTGCTCACACCCTGAACTCTGCACTGTGTATACTGCACACCCCTGAACTCTGCACTGTGTATACTGCACACCCCTGAACTCTGCACTCTGTATACTGCTCACCCCTGAACTCTGCACTGTGTATACTGCACACCCCTGAACTCTGCACCGTGTATACTGCACACCCTGAACTCTGCACTGTGTATACTGCACACCCTGAACTCTGCACTGTGTATACTGCTCACCCCTGAACTCTGCACTGTGTATACTGCACACCCCTGAACTCTGCACTCTGTATACTGCACACCCCTGAACTCTGCACTCTGTATACTGCACACCCCTGAACTCTGCACTGTGTATACTGCACACCCCTGAACTCTGCACTGTGTATACTGCACACCCCTGAACTCTGCACTGTGTATACTGCACACCCCTGAACTCTGCACTGTGTATACTGCACACCCCTGAACTCTGCACTGTGTATACTGCACACCCCTGAACTCTGCACCGTGTATACTGCACACCCCTGAACTCTGCACCGTGTATACTGCACACCCCTGAACTCTGCACCGTGTATACTGCACACCCCTGAACTCTGCACTCTGTATACTGCACACCCCTGAACTCTGCACTGTGTATACTGCTCACCCCTGAACTCTGCACTGTGTATACTGCACACACCCTGAACTCTGCACTGTGTATACTGCACACCCCTGAACTCTGCACTCGGTATGTAGCTTACCCCTGTACTCTACACATAGAGGCACATGGAGTCTGGGATAAACTATGAGGATGCAGGGAAGGGTGGCGTATCAGAACATTGTGCATCTGGACCTATCCTGCCTCCACCTAACAACTGTACATGTATTTTCTCCATCAGCCCATCCCCCACAGTAATTACCCTCCTTAGATTGTAAGCTCTTATGAGCAGGGCCCTCTGATTCCTCCTGTATTCAATTGTATTGTAATTTGTACTGTCTGTCCTCATGTTGTACAGCGCTGCGTACACTTTTGGCGGTATATAAATTCACATTCGCGTCGCGTAAAACTTGTGATGGTGATGAAGGATTTGAATTCTTCCAGTTCAGTAAAATATCTTTGCTAGCATGAAGCAGAATCAGTGTAAACGCGGTATGCATGTGTAATAATGGTACAAAGTCATTGAATGATCAAGAGGCAGAACTCCAGAGTCGCAGGACCAGAGAAGCCTAGATGAGTATTCAGAGTATGGAGCATGACCTATAATGCGCTTGTAACACTACCCCCATAGGAGCCGCTGGATTGTTTGGGTCTTCCTGCCCTGCAGCAGTGATGACCTGCCCTGTACCTGGATCTGAGGGACCACAGAAGCACCTGCAAACTTTAAGTGGGCTTTAAATAGAACTATAGGCAAAACTTTTTTTTTGTTTTTTTTTCATTGTAGGTAGAGTAAGGAAGGGTTATAACCCCTGTCGGATTTTTTTTTTTTGGTCTTCTGTGTCCCATTGCGGAGCTTTCACTTCCTGTGTTCAGCCAGACAGGAAGTGAGAGGAAATCCCTGCAAATAAAGGGAATTCTTGGGGCCCCCCAGGTCACCAGAACCAGTGTCCCCTTTGGAAGATTTCCCCTCTATTACTTTCCAGGGGACAACCCAAAATTTGGGATTTTCTTTCATTGATAATGGTACACAGAACAAATAGAGAGGATAAATCTCCCTACTGGGGACACAGACAGCAATAAAAACCTGAGGGGGTCTAATCCATCTCCACTCTGTCCTAACGTTTTGCCTTTAGTTCTACTTTAATAAAGGCAGAAGATCGGGTTGGGCAACCAGAGTACAATCTAGAATAGCAGTCTAGGCAAGTGCCAGCCGCAGCACCATAGAGGTCAGAGCATAGAAATGATGTATCTGGAGATACCAGGGCCTACCTAAACCACTGGCCACGGTGAAATGATCTACAGACCAGCTGGCTTTAGGGCCTTGAGGTGGAGCGATCTCTCCCCAAATGGGAGATTTGTAGTCCATTTAGTAACCGTAGTCCAATTCCAGCAGAACTCCTTCCCATACAGTGACAGCGAAGGTAACCACCTCAGATAAGTGGCCCACAGGCCTCTCCACACTCTTGGGGGAATTCTCTCCAATGCACTTCATTCCTGAATGACCGTGTCCATACTCAGCATGGTTGGAACAAATTCACAGCTCCTGAGTGGAGTCAGATGAAGGGCCCTTGGCCTACCACTCCAGCCTGCATGTGTGGAAGGATCTGTTGAAGTCCCAGCCCCCCTCCACACATCGACCTGATGCTGGAATGGCAGGATACCGGAACACCAGAATACTGGAACAGCATCTCCTAGTACGGTCTTTCCTGGTTGGGACAGCTGAATGACTTCATCTGCTAAGACACTGGTGCATTTCACCGTAATAATAAGTCATAGATTTGCTCTCACATTTCGGCATGGCCGGGTTTTGGGTTCTGTTGGGCAGTATGAGCTCATTATTTTGTATTTTGTATTCTTTTCACAGCTGTCTCTCGTCCCCTTCCTGTCACGTTCCATCGAGGTAAGTGCCATCCACCCTACAGCCATAGTAAGGTGACTGGAGTCATTTAGATGTTGCATATTTTATAAGATGCATTTTATACATTTTTCATTATTTTTATAGAATCTTCATTTTTCATAGAAATGTTTAATACAGGGTGCATTAATGGCACTTCGTTTTCAGAAATTGTTGGACTCTCTAATAAAGTATATTAATGAGCCTGGAATTGGATTTTATGTACTTTTTTAGTATCTAGTTATAACGTACTTTTAGAAGTGATTGGTTTGGCCTCCGAAATCTTGTCATTGAGAGTTCATTTCTTTTAAATCTTCGTTTCTATGTGCAGTGTTATTTGTAATGATGTGTATGGGGGCCGACCAATTTGTTCATTACATACACTGGCTCTGCATCTGCTTTACAGTGCTACACAATGGTGATGATTTAAGTCGGCCATAGATGGTTCGAATCTCAGCCGATTCTGCAGAGACCGACCGGGATTCGAACCATGAGCAGGCTGTTTGTACCCATGTCTATCCATTGACCGACGGGTACAATCAGCGTGTGGGATTTTTAGGATGCGATTATTACCAGCGGCTATGGCCACTAGCAATAATCACTGTGTTGGCCCAGCAGGGCCGGCTTCCCAAACACAATAGCTCTTCAGGAACGATTCCCCCATCAACACTGACTGTGTTGATGGGGAAATCAAGCAATTTTCTTTCCTGCAACCTGTAGAAAGTCGTATCATCTATGGCCGGCCTTACTGCTTTCTCAGAGCAAACCTACGAGTCAGCCACCCAATGAAGACAATACACTCCCTATGTGGCCAATATCTTACGTCAAGAAAGAGACAGAGTAACTATACTGAGTCTATCAGAGCTCCCTCTAGTGATCATATATAAATCTCTAAAATGCAATTTCAGAAATGAGGACGTCACCATGAGGTCAGCACTGCATTTATATCCAGAGGTATATGAAAACACACAATCTTTTCCTTAGCTGCGCTCTTTTGGCTGTTGGTGTTTCCTGCAGCTGTAGGTATGATGTAGTATCATTGTAGGAGTAATATACGTCCAGCTACAATGCCATTCCCTGTGTTCTGCTGTTGCAGCGTTTGACATGGTGTATGACCCGCTGTTAGCGATGGAGACTCTGATATCATTGGGGTTTGAACGGGTGCTGACCAGTGGATGTGACAGCTCTGCACTGGAAGGCTTGCCTCTGATAAAGAGACTAGTGGAGCAGGTAAGATCTCAGCTAAATACACTCCATGTCCCCGATGGAACATTCTTCTGTAACTTGTACAATGTCTCAGTCCAGTACACTGTATCCACGTCTCTGGAGACTCCGATCATGATCATCATCAGTCTACAAATAACCGTCTTTGTTTTATTTTAGGCTAAAGGCCGAATCCTAGTGATGCCGGGTAAGAAATTCACCTTCATGCCAGATCTGTGTCTGCATCGCAAGGGTGGGATTCATGTGCATTTAGGATTGTAAAGAGTGTAAAGTATGGACAAAACGTGAAGTGATATTTTATTAGGTGTCAATGTTTTGTCATATTCTTTGAGAGAAGATTGTAGTAATAAAGTACATCAAATTTCCTAAATAAATTCAATGTATCGCAGGACTTGACCCTCCCACAGCTTGCTGATTGGACAAATGGCACAGTGATGATGAGGTCATCTCTCTGCTCAGTTTGTTCTGTCATCCTGTCAGTATGTCAGCGGACAGTGTGCTGAGCTGCCCTCCCCCAATGTGCCCTAAAGGAGCCTACAGGCAGGTGCTGCCCACACGCTATAGGGACTCATTTTATCTAAAATGTCTTTAATGGTTTTCTTTTCAATCAGTTGTTGATGGTATTGTGTTTTCCTCCACCTTCCCGGGCTCTCCCATACCACCAGGGAATCCAGGACTGCAGCCATCGGTTTTGCTGGCTTACCATAGTGCTGATCGGAGACCAGAGCGGCCCGATCATCTCTATGGTCTAAGAAACCGGAAGCAACGATTATTTTGTCACTTCCAGTTTTGCCGGTTGTAAGCAAACCATTACTGGTTTGAAAAAAGAATCAGATCATAACCAATCTTGGTATGATCCAAAGCGTCAGAGGAGAGATCTGGGGTCTAATGGACATCAGATGTCTCGGTAAAGAGGACCTGTCACTGCCTATTGCTGTCACAAGGGATGTTTACATTCCTAGTGATAACAAAAAAAGTCATTAAAAAAATTGTAAAGGTATGTGTTCTGATACTGTATTGCAGTAATAAAATATGAGGGTTCGATTGGGCTTTTAAAGAGGTAAAATAATATGTGACTTTCTGTTCCTGTAGGAGGCGGTATAACAGAGAGGAACCTGCACAGAATCCTGGAGGGCACTGGAGTTCAGGAGTTCCACTGTTCAGCCCGTTCTACCAAGGAATCCTTAATGAAATACAGGTACACAACACAGCCGGAACACTACTAACCAATATAGCCTAGGTGATGTATGATCGGCCTGTTTTTAGAACGACCAGCGGATATATAAATGGAGAAATAAGTACAGATTTGCACTTTCCATGAAAATACATTAGATGATCCAGGCAGAAACAATCCATGGTGTCAGGAACTAGTGCTGCCCCTAATAGGATGCACAGGGAGAAGTCGGCAGCAATGAAAACAAAGACCGAAGGCGCTCATAGACCCTGTGTAGTATTACAGAGACATTTATTATTGGGATAAAATGCATCAATGGACAAGTAGGGTTGAAGTGCTTGTGAACGAGGAGTTTCAGATTCCCAAATCATTCCCTCCCCCTGAGACTCCATTTTCATTTTTATGGCGTGTGCTCATGTGCTGAACGGCGCAGCCCTGCCTTTGGGTCCATGCAGAGCTCTCTGACACAAGTGCACGTCGGAGTACTGATGTGCCATGGTCTGCTCTCATCCATTAAGAAGTCTCTATCTTTTCCATTTATCATTTCATAACAGCCCAACTATTATAAGTTATTGTTTTTTGTTTCAGCCTGAAGGAATCCTCACTGATCAGCCTATTTTCTGTTTACCAGGAACCACTCCGTATGTATGGGAGCAGCCATCACTACCTCAGAGTATTCCATCAAGGTTGCCGATGTGGCCAAAGTCAGGACATTGAATGCTATGGCAAAGAATTTCCTGTGATGTGACACGTGGTCCTCTAATGGGGGGTGAAGCCGTGAGCTTGTGTAAGCGTGGCAGAGACTTCTTCCTGCTAAGCTGTGCTGTCTGGTGGACAGGTCAATAGGGGACAGGCCTTGGTGGAAATGCTGCTGCATGTTGGGCTCTTGTACTAATGAATGATGGGATGTATGAGGGATGTGGCTCATTTATCAGCACAACTGTGATGTTGTTCATTGGTTAGACCATATCTGGGCACAGAAATACTGTCACCCTGCAGTGGGTGCTTTGTACTGTCTGCATCAAATCATTCCTTCCCTTTATGCCGTGTCTGGAATTCTTCAAGATCCACAAATCCCATTTCAGTCTTCATTTTCTTCCAGCAGAGAATACGCAGCTCAGTGATGAACACTCCAAGCACACTAGGTCTTATTTATCAAAGTGTTCAAGTGTCAGAATCTACACAGTCAGGGTTGATGGGGGAATCCCTCCTGCAGCAGTATTGTGTTCTGCCATTGGGGAGCCTTCCAGGCCGGCTATAGCCTGCAGCCCTAATCGTAGAGGAAGAACCGGACTGGCAGTTTTACACAAGTCGATTACTAGACTGACTTGTGTACAACCAGGGTGCCCATACGTGGATTGAAATCAGCTGGTTCCTGCTCAATCAGCCAAATTTCGATCCATGTATGGCTGGCTTTAGACCAGGTAAAGTTCACTTTAATTTTTGTATTTGAACCTCCTGACTGTTTTTAGCCTCTTTTAGTGACTTTGATAGTTCAGTTCCCTGTATTTCTCCATAGTAGTCAGTCTTTCACAAAAGACAAAGGTTGGTTTAAATGCTGTTTGCTGCTGTGGAAGAAACCGAAAAGAATGCTGATTGAGATACGAGGCAATCTGTCAAACTTGCTTTGCTGAACTTTTCCTGATATCCATCCTGATACCCCACTTCTCCTACTATGGATTCCATACATTGTTTTGTAGAGTCAATGTGGTAATTACTATTACAAGTATAATACGTGGGACTGTGGACGGTTGGTAAGCCATAGCAGCCAATCAAACCTCATCATTTGCCTCATGTGACTGCAGAATACTGAACTCTGCTGGGGGTTAGTGCACTTTGCATGTAGAGTTTTCTCAGCTCTATTATTCCTGGCTGTATAAATATGGCTGTTGTTCCATCTGAACCTATCAATGTGTCCAAGAACATCACCTTTCTATAAAATCCTTTGTATCCCTTCTGTCCGCAACCTTCCCATATGCCATATATAGTACATGCTGTCATAGAGGCACCAGGAGATCTGGAATACTATCTATCATAATTATCCTTTTCAGATATGTCTCCATGGCCGCTTATGATCCCCCCCCCCCCCCGATCTTAGATCTGTTGATGACAATGGCAAGGTCTCTGTAGAATGTACACAGCAATTAGTGGTCCTGGGTTGGAGGGGGCTACAGCCTGATGTACGCTGCTGAGGAGAGTCAATTTCCTCATTAAACAAGAATGGGGAATATAGAATGGGGCAGTCCGGCAAAGTCAGAAGAAGGCCTCATACGGTCTTCTAGTGTGAACTTTCCTCAATCACGCCAGTTACGTGTTTGGAGAAATACGCCGTATGTTCCTGCGCAGGTAACGCCGACGTAGGAGGGTTTGTTTACAAGCATACCACGGCGTGCAGCCATTTACCTGTATGGGCGACATCTCGGGGATAGGAAAGCACTAGAGAACCTAAGAGCGTGCCAACGTCCGTGTGCATGAGGCATACATCATATCTTGTATGACGTATTCTATCATAGGAAATGTATACTGTATAAATATCATGTAACATGGGGGGGCGAAGTATGTTGCCATAGAGACTCTGCTAGGTCAGGTTACCCTGGTTGCTATGGGAGACACACTTTCCATGTGGATACAGTTCATAAATGAGGCTTCCTGTGTTTTGCACTCAATCATTTCAGTTCTCATGTTAGAAGCTGGACACAATGATTGCAATCAGAACATCGTGTTCCACCTATGGCTGTTTCTGTCACTTCTCTGTTTCAATGTTATTTCAAAATAGAAATCAATAAAAAAATATGAAATAAAATGTTTTGCATTACAGGTAGACGTTTGTGAAAATGTTTTTCCCATTTATACCTAGTATACATCAATCGGCCATAACTTTATGACCACTGACAGGTTAAATAAATAATATTGATTATCTCCTTACAATGATATCTGAAAGCGGGTGGGAACTATTAGGCAGCAAGTGAACATGTTGTCCCTGAAAATGAGGTGTTGTATATGGGGTTGTGTGGCCGCTGACCAGTCGGTGTCCATGCTGGCCCGTGTTCACAGCCAAAAGTGCCTACAATGGACACGTGAGATCAGAACCCAGGTTGTAGTATGGGAAGAAGGCAAGCCGGTGGAGGCAGCGTGATGCTTTGGGCAATGTTCTGCTGGGAGACCTCGGGTCCTGCCATTCATGTGGAGGTTACTTGGCACGTACCACTTACCTAAACATTGTTGGTGACCAAGTCCACCCCTTCATGGCAATGGTATTCCCTGATGGCAGTGGCCTCTTTCAACAGGATAACGCACCCTGCTACACTGCAAAAATGCTTCAAGAATGGTTTGAGGGGCACAACAACTAGTTTGAGGTTTTGGCTTGGCCTCCAAATTCTCCAGATCTCAGTCCTTTTGAGCATCTGTGGGATGTGCTAGAAAAACAAGTCCCATCCACGGAGGCCCCACCTCCCAATTTATAGGACTTAAAGGATTGGCTACTGTCGGCTTGGTGCCGATGTCACAGCGTACCTTCAGAGGTCTAGTGGAGTCTATGCCTTGATGAATTCGGGCTGTTTTGGTGGGAAAAGAGGAACCTACCAGTATTAGGTGGGTGGCCATAATGTTATGGCTGAGTAGTGTATTTGTTAATCTGCACTGCTTTGAGGGTGCAAAGTGCTTTGAAGTTGTATTCAGATAGACCAAAAAAAGGTCAGCAATACTAACACATTGCCTAAGCTGGCCATACACCGAGCACATTTTTCCAGTTCCTGGTAGAATGACAAAATTAAGGGGGCCCCCTCCCCCAAATCCTTCAATTGCAAATAGACAGCTGGACAAAAAATTGTCATTTGAACATCAGCTGCGTCCAGTCAGATGTTGAAGTATTCTAACACCCACCTGTGCTAGCTATCCGGTCTTGAGCTCTCGGACATATTTACATAGTTAGTCTGGCTGGAAAAAGACAAAAAGTCCATCCAGTTCAACCATTAAAAAAAGAAGTTATAATCCTACACCCACAGATGATCCAGAGGAAGGCAAAAAATCCCAGCAAAGCACGATCCAATCTCCTCCTGCAGGGGAAACATTCCTTCCTGATCCCCCGAGAGGCAATCGGATATTCCCTGGATCACCTTTCCCTATAAATGTTATATTCTGTGTATCCAAGAAAGAATCCAGGACTTTCCTACAGCAATCCACTGAGCTGGTCACACCCAACTCTGGAGGGAGTCTATTCCACATTCTCAGCTCTTACTGTGAAGAAACCTTTCCGTGTTTGGAGATGACATTTCTTCTCCTCCAGACGTAAAAGAGCGCCCCCTTGTCCTCTGTGATGACCTCAGGGGGAATAACTACACCGAGTTCCCTATATGAACCACTGATGTATTATACATGGAGATCACATCCCCCCTTATGTATTATACATGGAGATCATATTCCCCCCCTTATGTATTATACATGGAGATCATATCCCCCCCTTATGTATTATACATGGAGATCATCCCCCCTTATGTATTATACATGGAGATCGTATCCCCCCTTATGTATTATACATGGAGATCATATCCCCCCTTATGTATTATACATGGATCATCATATCCCCCCCTTATGTATTATACATGGAGATCATATCTCCCCCCTTATGTATTATACATGGAGATCATTATACCCCCTTATGTATTATACATGGAGATCATATCCCCCCCCTTATGTATTATACATGGAGATCATCATATCCCCCCTTATGTATTATACATGGAGATGGAGATCATAGATCATATCCCCCCTTTATGTATTATACATGGAGATCATATCCCCCCCTTATGTATTATACATGGAGATCATATCCCCCCCTTATGTATTATACATGGAGATCATATCCCCCCTTATGTATTATACATGGAGATCATATCCCCCCTTATGTATTATACATGGAGATCATATCCCCCCCTTATGTATTATACATGGAGATCATATCCCCCTTATGTATTATACATGGAGATCATATCCCCCTTATGTATTATACATGGAGATCATATCCCCCTTATGTATTATACATGGAGATCATATCCCCCCTTATGTATTATACATGGAGATCATATCCCCCTTATGTATTATACATGGAGATCATATCCCCCCTTATGTATTATACATGGTGATCATATCCCCCCCTTATGTATTATACATGGAGATCATATATCCCCCCTTATGTATTATACATGGAGATCTATCCCCCCCCCCTATGTATTATACATGGTGATCAAATCCCCCCTTATGTATTATACATGGAGATCATATCCCCCCTTATGTATTATACATGGAGATCATATCCCCCCCTTATGTATTATACATGGAGATCATATCCCCCTTATGTATTATACATGGAGATCATATCCCCCCCTTATGTATTATACATGGTGATCATATCCCCCCTTATGTATTTTATACATGGAGATCATAATCCCCCCTTATGTATTATACATGGAGATCATATCCCCCCTTATGTATTTATATATCCCCCCATGGAGATCATGGATCATATCCCCCCCTTATGTATTATACATGGAGATCATATCCCCCCTTATGTATTATACATGGAGATCATATCCCCCCTTATGTATTATACATGGAGATCATATCCCCCCCCTTATGTATTATACATGGTGATCATATCCCCCTGTATTATACATGGAGATCATATCCCCCTTATGTATTATACATGGAGATCATATCCCCCCTTATGTATTATACATGGAGATCA